ACAATAAGGAATGGAAAGGGATGGGCCCCGCAAGCGGCTAGTACCCAGGCGCACGAGCGCCATGGGCATCTCGGCCATGATTGAGTCTTAGCCAGGCTGACCCTGGCCGGATCCCCACGAACGGGATGCCGGACCCCAATCAAACTATCCGGCTAATGAACCACCAAATCCCATGACCATACCCATGAAGGGTCCGACCTCAACAAGAAGGAATCACCGTCTTCAGGACACACCGTGGGCAATAATAGAGGGCTAGGGCCCTCAGAGTCCTCTCTTTCGAAAAAGCCTCCGAAGGAGTATTCTACTCCTCCATAGGCTCGGGGGCTATACCCACCGGGTGCGCTAGCACGCACCCGCTGGCAAGTCAAAAAATCCCCCAGGCGATTCTACTCGAATCGCCCGGGGGCTCGAGGGCTACTATCGGGGACCAATACTAGGGTACCCAAAGAGGAGGAGCTAATGATCATCAACATTTATTCATCCGTGCGATCAAGAGCACGACTACGCCGCTTGTCGAGCTCCGCCTCGTTTGGCCACCAAGGCCATGGTCCCTACCTCATCTGACCCCTAAAGGTTGGCTCCGCCTTGGTGGGCGCTGCGGCCGTAGGCCCCACCTCCACCTCGCCCGATGTCTGAGGGCTGGCTTCGCCTCGCCCGACATCTCTGACGACATTACAACAACACGCGACTCCTGGGCCGGCCTAGATACCTAATGACAAGACGGAAGAGCAATCCAGTCCCTGACCAGAGGGCTAGGCCAAGGAGGGGATGACACTCGCTTCGGACTCCGACCCGCTTTTTCGACTGGGAATACACCAAACCTCTGCTTACAGCTCTTCTCTGACAGACATGGTCAGAGCCGACTAGGTAAGGACCTAGGAATCAGGCGGAGCAGATAAGGCAAGGCGCTCAAGTCAACCATAATATCGAGGATCGTACCCTACACACCTGTAGGACAGTATCATCAGGCCATGCCAGAAGGGTGCTTTGCAACCTTCCAGGCACGTTAGAGCCCAAACAGTGTTGTAGGCGCCGACATTTGCCTTACAGTGTTGTTGGCACCATCATTTGCCCTTGGGCATGGATCCTTACAGAAGCTCACGACAACCACTACGGTCCAGAAGGTGTGACCCAAGGTCAAACTTCTGGAGTCGTGCGGGGAGCGGTCACATCTTAGCACGACCCGTCCCCACGACATGTCATTCCAGGGAACTCACATCGCCCACAGTGATAGACGCGTGGTCACTGTGCTGCATACTCTCTGTATGGCCACTGATCAGCATGCTGGTTCACTGCGCCGCCCGCCGGGGTAGAGCAAGACGTGATGACCTGCTGACAATGTCAGGACATGGCATTGTCAGCGGACAGGAGCCCGGCGTGGCCCTATCATGGTCAGCAAATAGGCGCCCGACGTGGGGCTGTCCCTGTCACCGCCTACCATGTCAGCAGGGCCCGCACGGAGGAAAAGGAAGATCCGGCGACCCTAATGGACTTCCTTTACCTCTTGTTTTCCTTTTTTCTCCCATCTATAACCCATGCTCTCCCTTGGCATATAAAAGGAAAAGCAGGGCATCCTACTAAAGGGGGGATCGATTTACGACATCGCACATCACACCGCATCACAGCAGAACCACTAGCATCGAACCTCGAACACATAGCTGAGTAGTGACCGAGCTCTCGGCACTCATTCGATCTTTCCATCAGAGACTTGGGACCTGTCCCTCTCTCGCCCGTTTATAACCCCTACTACGAACTTTTCAGCGCCAATAACACGAGCAGTAGCCACAAACTGGACGTAGGGTCATTCTGCCCAAACCAGTATAACCCTTGTGTCTTTTTAGCACTCCATCCGGGCCAGACACGCAATAATACAAATTTACTCGTTGGAGTTTGCTCGAAACACCAACAGGCGCCGCCATGGCCGGCGGCCAACTCGGAGTGAGACTCTAATGGGGCATACGTAGCTTCATATGAACTAGGTATCCACTAATATCCGAAGTCTCCCAAACCACCCCCAACGGGCTATGCTAGCGCCCGAATGTCCCGACAGGACACCCGCGCAGCCTGCCCCCGTGCGCTGATGGTGTTTTTTATTCCTGCCCCACACGCGCACCCGCCCTGTAGCAGCGCCCACCCGTCCAGATGACTCACCCCACCCCCGCAACACACCCTGTCCGCTTGGATTCAAAGTCGCCCACCTCATCCCGCACGTGCACCCCCGCCCCCGTTGCGACGCGACCGTCGGCCTCCAGCTCACCACGGGCCGCGGCCCATTCTCCGGCACCCATGTTGTGCCCCATCACTCCCTGCGCCTATTGACTCTCCAAACAGTATGAAACACGTTACACATGAAACATTTGAATGCAACATCCGTATGAAACAGATAAAACCTTTCGAACATACACTTACAACATATGTGTGAAACATATGCAACATCAGATAAAACACTTGCAACTTGCCACAATGAAAACATGCACTGCAACATAAGGTTAAAACAACTAAAACATTTCGAACATATTCTTGCAACATATGTGTGAAACATATGCAACATCCAGATCAGAACGCTTGCAACATACATCTGGAACAAATGAAACATTTTGAACAACACTTTTGAAACACTTGCAACATGACTCTGAAACACTTACAATATGTGAAACATCTCTAATATACTTTTGCAACATCCATATGAAACAATTGCAACATACCTCTGAAACACTTACAATATGTGCAACATCCCTAATCTACTTTTACAACATCCATATAAAACAATTGCAACATACCTCTAAAACATCTGAAACACTTGAAACATACTTGCAACATGTGCTTCCATCGCAACATCTCCTTGCTAAAGTCGTGCGTCACCGTGGCTATGGCGTCGTTCATGTGTTTTTTTTCTCGAATACCCAAAAGAGTTCCGTGGTTCATATGTACATAAGGGCACCAATTTTTTGTTTCGCCTTTTGCCCCTAAAAATTCAGGACCGACCTGTTTATCCTATAATATCACTAAAGTGCCTATGTGTTTATTTTATTTTACATGTGTGATTGTAGGAGCCCTATGAACTCAGTTTCATTTGCGCTGTGAATGGAAATGTGGGCAACAAAAAAAACTTCAGGGATTTACACCCATATTCACATTTGTTTTGGGTGAAACCAAAAGATGGAAGTCTTACCCTATTTATTTTGCCCAAGGTAGTAATGACGATGAAGATAAAGAGCATCATTGGTCGTTTTGCCGTCCTATATTAAGTCTCTCAAAAAAATAGTATCTATTTAATTACTGCACTAGATACATGACATATTTTAAGGCATTTTCTTAAAATATGAATTTAATCCTTATGTTTCTATGCTAAAGCTCTATATTAATTCTTCTCATACTTTCTTTTTCTTCCAAAAAGCTCATTGCTTACTGTGAGTTTGAAGGGACTAGGATTCTGCATTCAACTAAGAATTTATGTGGAGGCGACATAGATTTTGAGAAGATGGCTTTGGGGAGGCATACTATCACCAATGCACGAATCATTAGTCACGGGGATCTTATAGCTTGTCTGGTGGGTATACTTTTCAGAGGACTATATAGTTTATCCAAGCTATGAACATGACTGCTTGTTCAATAAATCTGAACTAGGGAGATAAAATTAGGAAGGTGAGTGTTAGCATGTGAAGATAGAAAGTAAGAGAATCAAAGGATCAATAGGGATTGGAGAGGAAGAAGAACCGTAAGAAAGGAGGATTTCAGGGTTTCTCTTAGAACAGAGAAAAGTTTCCTTTAGAAGAGGGGGAAGTTTAGGATAGGGATTGATTACAATATTCTTGATTGATCATCTCTACCTCTCTTAGCTAAGGGTAGATATAGTACTCCATACATGGGCCAAGCCCAACTAGTAAAGGCACGTAGGCCCAAGTCCTAAACCCATTAGCTATTACTATTAGTAGCCTAGGTATGAGACAAAGTAAATGTAAGAGCATATAACAAATAGATACATTTTGATGTCTTTTTCTTGGTAGGGTCGTATTTAAAATTTAGCATCTCAGTGTCACATTTTTGTGTGTATATATGTCTGTAGTAAGTTGAGCTGGATTGGGGAATATTGCTGCTGTCTGTGAGCCAGGAGTAACAACAGGAGCTCCAGGTGCCATCGCGGAAGGTGCATAGCAGATAGGCAGCAGCAGCAGGATAAGCTTGTGACCCACCAGCAGGCAGCAACAGCAGCAGCAGGATAATCTTAGAGGACATTTTGATACTTTCATTTGAAGGAATTAAAATCTATTTAGGAATTTGACATTCCACTACTTTTCAAAGTTCACATATAAGCCTATCTTAAATTCATAGAGTAAGAGCTAGAAGTTGATTCTGTAGATCACCGTTCTATGTTTCTATATTACAACTTATAACACGTTCTTTAACTCGCTCCCCTACGGTACAATGCAACACATAAGTATCTCTCTCGTATAGCCAATAATAATATACAAATATATTTCATATACAACCATATTAGCTTAATTAATATGTGTCTAAATTATAATTATTAAATTGAATTCCCAAGGATCCAAACGGGCCCTACTGAAATTATGAAAGATGATTGCTTCTACAATTTCTTCTTAAGCACAAATTCATCCTAGAGCAACTTCAGCTGTGCTGTAGCTCATTAGCATAGCATTTATCTTGATGGTCGATTTAAATATGACAAACACAGAAACTTCCATTTAACACGGATACGATTAGAGAGAATTATGTATTTGACACTAAAACAAATCGGCCCTTTATATTTGGCACTAGAAAATTTAAACTTCCTTATCTAGTATCGAGTTGAAAATTTCTTTTGTAAATAGCACTGCCGTCCATTTAGACCAGTAACAGTGTCAAAGTGGCTAGCAAAATGACATAAATGCCCTTGATTGTAGCAAAAGTCTATGGTGCTAAATAGAAAAAAAAGAAATAGACAGGTTTTTAAATAAGAAAATCATAAATATACTTTGAATGATAGCAGCTCAGTTATATTACTCCAAGGAATCGGTGGTGCCTTCTTGCTCGAACGCGTGCTTCAGGCTGCCTTTCAAGAAGTTGCCGCTCCACGTGGACGCCGACGTCAAGCTGAGCTGGCTGGTCGTGGTGCCCGCCGTGGTCGACATGGTGTCGAGCCCACCGTCGGTCGCCGGCCACACGAACGACGGATTGAACGGCGGCACCTCCGGCGGCGGCATGGACCCGAGCAGGATCTGCAGGATGGCCGGCGTCTTGGGCCGCTCAGCGGGGGTCGGGTGGCTGCACAAGAGCCCCAGCAGGATCAGCCGCTCCGCCTGGTCGGCGTCGAACGCACCGTCGAGCCGCGCGTCGACGGCCTCCAGCGCGCGGCCGTCGCGGTGGAGGCGCCACACCCAGTCCACCAGGAAGTGGAAGCCCTCGATGTCGCAGTGCGGGCGGCGGCCGCACACCACCTCCAGGACGACGGCGGCCGGAGGACAGCGAGAATGTGGGGCTAGATAGCTTACCGACGAGGCGGACGAGGTGCTTGTGTCGGAGGCGGTTGATGATGCTGAGCTCGGCGAGGAAGTCGTTCTGGCCCTGCGTGCTGGCGCGGGAGAACTTCTTGATGGCCACCTCGACGGCGCTCCCGGCGCCGCCGGGCTGGTGTGGTCGCCGACCACCACGCCGCGGTACACGACCCCGTACCCGCCCTGCCCCAGCTTCATCTTCTCGTCGATGTTGTTGGTGGCCTTGCGAATCTCGTGGTACTCGAACTCCCGCGGCCCGCCGGCGAGGCTGCGGATCATGGTGCCGGTGATGGCGCTGCTGCTATTGCCGTCGTCGCCGTGCACCTTCCGCCGTTCCACCACGCACACGTATGCCAGGACGGCGGCGCCGACCACCGCGACGACACCCACGGGCACTCCGATGGCGAGCCCGAGCATCCGTCTCTTGCCGTCACCGTCGTCGTCGCACGGGAGCTTCTCCAGCGTCATGTTCCACGCGGACGGCGTGGAGCAGGCGAGCCTCCGCGAGCTCCTGGGCTGGAGACGGAGCTGCCGGCCACGACGAGTATAGAGGGGCATTTTGGTACTTTCGAAAGAAACGTGACAGGATCGATGCAGTCGACTGACGGATGGATGCACTAGGTGGACGGTAGTGTCATTTACAGAAAAAAAAAATCTACTCGATGCCAAATAAAAAAGTTCAAAATTTTTAGTGCTAAATAAAGAAGACTAATTTGTTCCGGTGCCAAATACATAATTGCCCTATACAATTACCTTGAACAAGTGAAATTAGAAGGCACTTATCCTCAAAGAACACACACAACAACCGATACACAGTAAAGCAAACAAGATTTTTTTTTTTAAAAAAATCACATCTATTGACTTTCCCTGATTGCTTATAATGCATAACAGGACGGGAAAATTACCTTTCATGCTCCCACTTTCAATAATAATGATCTCAGATGAAAATGTTAACTACAAATCTTTAGGTCACATTTAGAGCTAAAACTTTTTTAATAGACCATAATATAAACATCCAAGGTTATTTGAAAAAATGGTAAAAATCAAAAATTAAGAACTTAAAATAAATATTTGAGCTTCTAAACGATCTCAAATGAAAGAAATTATCAACAACAAAAGTGTAGATCGTATTGAGAGTTATAAATTATGTATAGCCTATGTTAACATCCTAGGTTGTTTGAAAAATTCAAAATCTGATAATTTAAACCGAACATTTGAGCCTCTAGAAGATCTTAAATAAAAAAGTTACAAACTACAAAATTGTATGCCTGCATTAAGCTCTATAATTTTATATAAAGTTTGTACTGATCTAACTTCATATGAAAAATTATGTTTTGAGAGAGAGATCATGTGACCAGGGGCGGAGCTAGAAACTCAATTTTTTCATGTTAAGGGGGGCCAACAGTGTAAAGTTTTCAAAATTTGATCCAATTTCAAAAAAAAAATTAGTGGAAACTTACCTTGATTAGGGGCCCCGGCCCCCCCCCGTCTCCGTCCCATCATCACGTCATCAAAGCTAAAAAGTTACTTTAAGATGGTCTTTGTGTGTGTGTGTGATGGGGTGGGGTGTATTTTCTCGAAGGTTTGTTTCAAGGATGCATGTTTCGTAGAAAACAATCCGAGTGATGCACAAGCTTGTGAAATACTCTCCCGTCTCAAAAGAATGCAATTCTTGCTTTTTAAAAGAAAACAATTTAAACTTTAACTAAATTTATATAAATAAGTACTAATATTCATGATATAAAATAAGTACCATTAGATTAGTTATAGAATATATTTGTATAATAAATTTATTTAGAGATATAAATACTAATATTATTTACTATAAATTTAAATTAGTTTAACTGATAGAGATCCTATAATTGCATTATTCTGTAGTATGCTGGTATGTATGAGGTCGACCTCGAGATCTCCACGTTGCAAAACTCCGGATGCCCTTTTGCATGGAAATTGGAAAAGACCGGTACACCGGTGTGGCGTTGTGTTGTTCTTGTTCCCACACATTCCCTCCGCCAGTGTTCTCTTTTTGCCTTGGCAGATTTGTTCGACAATTCCTCTCAAAAGAAGAAACATCTTTTCAAATACCGTTGTGCACATGAACCCCTTTTTTCAGTTGTTTATTGCAGTTGCAGGCAGCGCTGCTTCAGTTCAGAGTTCAGAAATTTTTTGCACACAGGAACAGTCGAACAGATGAGTCGCTTCCTCATCACTTGAAAGTGGAAATTGAAACAGGTACCAAGTAGCTGGAGCAAAGAGTAGTAAACTGCCAGTGTGACAAGAAACCAAGAACGACAAAAGGCACACGGATGCTCGGTGCCGCGGTTTGTTGTATACTCCCTCCGTCCGTAAGTCCCTAAATACTATCGCTACGATTTACGTGTTAATAACTTTGACTTAATTTTTAAAAATTACGTACAATATTTTTATCTTTAAATAAATTTATTTAAAAACTAGATTTAAATATCTATCGAGGATATTAATTATGTATTATAAATATTAATATTTTTTAATATATATTTAATCAAAATTATTTTCGGAAAAACGAAAACAACGTACACTTAAGACGGAATGGGTATATACAATCAATCATGTTCCCTTCCCCCTTGGTTTACATGAACAAGAAGAGGATGCTGCACCACACGACCCTGCCTATACTACTCTAGCATCATCTAATTTGGTGGCAGCACTAGGCACTAGCTGGTGGCGGCGACCGGCAGGCCGGCCGGAGCAACGGCGGCGCCGACGGCGGACGAGGAGGAGGAGGCGGTGGCCGGGACCAGCGCGAAGCGCGAGGAGAAGGAGCAGGCGTAGTAGATGCGCGCGGCGTCGGCGTCGTCGGCGTCGCGGCCGAGGTCGAAATTGCGCGCGTAGCTGAGCGGGTCGTACTGGCGGCACGACGACGCGCGGTGGCGGCGCGGCTGATGCGAGTGCGAGGCCGCGCACAGCGCCCGCCTGCCCTGCCGCCGCAGGCGCCGCACCAGCCGCGCGAGCCCGCAGCACGGCGCGGGCGGAGCCCGGGCCGCCGCCGTGGAGCTGCTTCCTTCCGCCATGCGCCGCTCGCCCCGGCTTGCTTGCTTTCTGTGTCTGACTGGAGCCTGGAGGAGTGAGTACCGGAGTGGACAGTGGAGTGGGGGAGTGCGTTCTGGCTGGTGGGTGGGGTGTCCGTGTCCGCCTGTCCGGTGTCCGTGGTTTATAGGGACGACCACCACCACAACCAAGTCGCTGCGATTACGTGACGGACGTCCGTCACGGATTTCACGAGAAATATATTGCGTATCAGCGTAACTTAACTATGAATACTCTGTCTAATTGCATCGCTTGGATACGTAATCAATCTCCCATGGTGGTCGTGGTCGCGGTCGCCGTCGCGCCTGCCAGTGCTGGGCACTTGCATGCCTGCCAGAGCCAGACGGGGAGACGCCCAGACCAAGGAATTGAAACTGAAACTGCCGTCAGCTTGTGAGGTGGGGCCAGGCCAGCCGGGGCCTGGGCTGTCCGGCTGTGGCCTGTGGAAGGGAGCAAAACGGTGGGCAGGGCAGGGCACAGCCGCAGTACGAGTACGACCCAGGCCACACAAACCGTGGCCGGACCGGACGGGCGGGCGTCATGCCGTCATGGCCTCATCTCACGGGCGTTCCTTGACTTGTCGCGGCGCGGAGCGTGACACGCCGCCACGTCGTGCGCCGCATCCGCATGCGTCCGCCGGTCGGCCTCTCATCGGGAGCCTCAGCCGCCCTCGCTCGCTCTGCCGATTGGACTAGCGTTTCCCCCCGCCCCCGGTGCAATGCAGGCAGGAAGCCGGCGGCGTCGCGCGTCCGGTGGACTCGCCTCGCCGTCTGCTGACTGCGGAGCCATCCGTGAAACTCAATCGAGCAGCACACATTCCCCTCAAGATATCCCGAACGATCGGACGTGCATGTGTGCTTGCCAGATAAAAAAAATACTACTCCGTACTGTCCGGGAGGACGATCCGCTGCACGGTGCCGTCTGCCGAGACGATCGAGCAGGTAATATTTGGATATCGGCAGCTAGCTTACAGGCTTTTTACAAGTGAAGGGGTTTGTATTTGAAAAATTGTCGTTGCTTAAACCAACGGCTCCATGATCAATTAGTTATTCTTTTAGGAAAATCTCCGGCGCGTTTGCCCGCTGATCCCAGCATCCATGCGGGGCCCTAGGGTGAAGGGGAAAAAAAGGGGGCGTTGCTTAAAACCAACGGCTCCATGATCAACAAGATTGCTCATCAGCAGTCGATCCCAGCATCCAGCGGTGCAGGGCGGTGATCGGACGCGACAAGATTGCCATCAGCAGTCGATCCATCGGCAGCACGCTGATGAGTCACACGAGCGTGCTAATCTGAGGCCTCGATCGCACTGGATGCTTGGTGAGTGACTAATTCAGCCAGCGATGGGTGCCCCCGTGCATGGCTGGTTTATGGGATCGACCCATGGGTCTTCACTCACGTGCTTGCACAGTTCATTTTGGCGCTTATGTAGCTGATTCCAACTGTTACCATCATCCAGCCTACTGGCATGTAGGAGCAGTACCGTAAAAAGCAGCGTCGCAGTAAAGGCCAAATCTGGCAACCGACCGTATAGTGTGTGTCTCGTCTCGGTTCTACAGGAATCTCACGAGTTTGGCTACCTTACAATAAATATACACGCCTCATGGAGTCAGGCATCGCAGTTTGGCCCACGATCAGCCGGTTTGTCTGTCACGATTACAGTTGCTATCATTTCCTTGGCTTTTCTGCAGACTCAGGACCAGTGGTAACATGGTGGATGTGTTCACAGTACAACTGCGAGTCTGCGACGCCATTTCACGGTTCTGCTTTCAGTAACACACATGCTATGACGCCAGTCAGTTAGTCAACTTGTTTAGTCGATACCACGGCTGCGTTTACTTCATCCTCGTAAGGACGCAGTAAGCATAAGCTCAGGTTAAGAGAGAGAGCAGCGTGTTGGATCAATCCTCACGGTAGATGAGTCACAACCCTAAGAAGTTAAATGGATTTTCGTAGCGACTGGCATGTTGTGTAGCAACTATGGCCATGTTCGTTTGGCTAAGAAGTCATGGCTGAAAGTACCGTTCGCTGATTTGGTGTGAGAGAAAACACTGTTCGTACGCAAGCGAATATGGCCTAATAGCCTACTAGTACTAGTACATGTACTATGGAGCGTCGATAATTTTACAGAGGCCCTTTTCTTCTACGGTTCCTATTATACAACAGAGGTACATCAGTTTGCCATACACCAATAAGCGCAAAGAACGGGAAGGGCGTTAACATTCTGATGGTAAAAGGATAAAAGAAAGCATATGGAATGAACAAAAAGGGGCAGCTCTATGAACTGAGACGGGATCAATCATGGTTTAAACATGAGCAGGGCACCAGCGACCAAAATGTATGTACGAACTGACAGCCCCTGTTACCCTGTACCTCGTGTAGTCCAGCCCGAAAATTGCTTGTCAATACCTGAACTCTTGGGAGGGAATCTGAAAATGGCAAGAGTGTCGTGTCGATGAGCATTCGTAAATGATCCTATCAACGGAGGCTGTTTTTAGTTCGTGAAATTTGGGAATTTGGCTACCGTAGTATTTTTTGTTTTTATTTGGCAATTAGTGTTCAATCATAGACTAATTAGGCTCAAAATGTTGGTCTCGCGATTTCCAACCAAACTGTACAATTGTTTTTTTTCGTCTATATTTAATGCTCCATACACGTATCACAAGATTCGATGTAATGAATACTGTAGCACTTTTTAGGAAAGTTTTTAGAAACTAAACACAGCCAGAAACTGCATTTTCGTGAAAACGATAAGCAGATGATATGGATGGGGAAAGTGGTGTCAGATCTTCTCATTTCACTATTGCTACTGCTATCCCAGTCAGTCGTTGATTTGATTTGGTAGGTAATCAGGGCCTGTCAAGGGCGTTATGGCAATAATAGAGGCCCCGACGGGCACTCAATCAATCATCTAAAGAAAGAAAGGCAGCCTGACCCAGTTTCAAGCGCATTACCAAATCACCATCCGACTTCCTATCAGCTGATGTAGGCACATATAGCACACAGGCCTCGTTTAGATTGTAAGTTTTTTCACTCTTTTTTCATCACATTAAATCTTTGATACATCTATAGAGTATTAAATATAGATAAAAAAATAACTAATTATACAGTTTGATTGTAAATTACGAGACGAATCTTTTGATCCTAGTTAGGCCATGATTGGACAATAATTGTCAAATACAAACGAAAGTGCTACAGTGCCAAATACTGATTCCTAACCCCAATCTAAACAAGGCCACAGTTTAGTGCACAACTGTACTATGGAGCACATTTAGATGATTTGACATAAGTAAACCCTAAGGCCTTATTTAGTTTCTCCTCCTAAAATTTATTCTACCCATCAAATATTTAGACACATGCATGGAGTATTAAATATAGACTAAAAAATAAATAATTATACAGTTTACGACTAATTTACGAAATGAATCTTTTATGTCTAATTAGTCCACGATTTGACAATGAGATGCTACAGTAACACATATGCTAATAACGGATTAATTAAGCTTAATAAATTCGTCTCGCGGATTACTGACGGGTTTTGTAATTTGTTTTTTTATTAGTATCCGAACACTCCATACAATATCCCAATGTAACACCCGATGTGACACCCCAAAACTTTACACCCTGAATTTAAACGAGCCCTAAAGCCATATGTCATTCAAGGAAATGGAGTAGGCCAATCTGTCCTTTCAACATGTGTGGCTGTTCTGCAACTACCGAATAAGGAAGTAAATTCTCGTAGATAAACAATAAAAACTCAGAATTCTCTACTCAGTATCAAGCCACAAACTCATTAGTGAAAGTTGTGCTATGCTAGCTTCCATAGCAAGTGTCATCATAAGACGAAATGATGAAAAAAATGCATAGTCATCGATTCGTAAATAGAAAAATATAATTGAAAATGGGGTTGGAATGAAATTAATACCTTCAGTAACCAAAGTCGGAGGACGTACCAGACAACTTCACAAAATACAGCAGCTATTATGGTCCCTGAAAAATATACAATTACCAGTATGATTAGAAATGTGCAGATCAATGTTTCTTTATGCAATTGCTAATATGGTCATCAGATGATTATCCGATGAGATGAAATATTAGACAAATTATATGCCAACATTACTCCTTAGCACCCTCTTGGCTGCTACTCAGCTACACAAGTCTGATGAGTCCCAAATCACATTATAAACTATAAAAGGATTCATTAAAAAAGTTAAGCAAACTGTCAAACAAAAAGCACAAGCATACTTCTTTGGATCTTGATACTGTGTTAATGCCTCCAGGAATTGGTTCCAAAAAGGCCCAGTCTCCTGAAGACTGACATTCTCTGATCCCCCAAGGTAAGCTTGGACAATGAATTCGTAGCTTTGCTCCCTGAATGCGCACGGCTCTTAGTAAATTTCAGATATGCACTAAGGTGAATCTAGTTTTTCATAAGATTCAGTCATACAGCTAACTTTCCTTCGTATTGAGATAACCATCCCAAGTACGATGCACCAAAATACATTGATACAAAAGGATTGTAGAGATCATCCACAGAGATAACTGTATATGCCCTGTAGCGACAATCCCTGTGCATCCAAAGGGGAACTACGGGTAATTTTCCATATAAATTATGAACATACAATAAAAAAACAGAGCAGTGGCAACTTTGCTTCAAATACCCAGCCAAGTATTCCTAGTGCTTAGTTGATTATTTAGTTAATCTGCTGAATAATACTATTATCTGACTTTTGAACTTATTTCTTAAACGAAATATCATACTTCGATCACGGCACACATACTTATGGGGGGCATGGGCCTATACAGGCTAGAACCGAATTTCAACTACTTATGACAATGAAACACTTGGCAAAAGAAAAGGGGACTGGTACTGCAAAAGTGAGTATCTAGTTTGTTGGGATGAACAATACCATTCAAAATGAGAAGCTCCTAATGAAATCCAAGTTAGCTCACCATAGATTTTTAGATGAAACTGTAACATTCAAAT